TTGCCTAGTGCTTGCTCTTGGTGGGAATTGTTGGGCTTCTGTAAATAACATCACAGATTCATGAAAAGCGCTGTGAGATAACTGTTGTTGTGATTTGGCGCTATATAAAAAATTGAATTGAATTGAATTGAATTAATGTAGGTACACATAATGCTGAGGCAGATTGGAGGGTCGGTGTGGAGGTTTCTTTGGTGAGGAGTTCCTTGAGGTAGGGAGGGGGGGCTTCACCATGGATGCACTGGTGGGTAAGGAAGGACATCTTGTACTCAATCCTGAGTGAGACAGGAAGCCAGTCAATTCAGAAAATTCTAAAAGTTTCAGAAACTTCAAGCACCACTGTATAGCATACTTCCATGGCAATATTAAATGTCATATAATATTATGTATTAACAGGAATGTACTACTATGGCTGCAGAACATTGACTTTGAAGCCATAAGGTAACATTTATGAGGTTCTCAAGAGCAGCAGGCCTGTAGAAAGTCCAAAAACATAATTAAATTATAAAAGAAAAGGCTGTCAATGCTGAGAATGTCTTCTCAGGACGTCAGTCAGGTGTATGAGTAGGGATGCAACGATTACGATTTTGTTGGTACGATTATTTTCAGAGAAATAATCATGATTTCACAATTATTATGATTATTATGCATTAATTAATTTCACAACACTAGTAATGACTTAAGTTGATTTTTAATATTTAATTACATTAACAATTTTATTTCTATAATATGTAAGTGTTATTAATATAAGAGGAACATTAACTTTTATCCCCCCGGGGATATTGTTATAAAGGAGGGGAATAATCGACTCTCATCCATACATATAAGTTTTAGTGAAAATGAGAGAAAGAAATTGAGTGCAGTGTTAACTGAAATGCAGTTAATAGGTAGCCTATAGTCCTGAAAGTCTATAAGCACCTGATGTATGTTAGTGTTTTACACCTGGCAACATTTTCACAACACAGACAGGAGAAGACAACATGATGTAACATTAAATGTTCAGTGACTCAAGGTCTTGAGAGGACTACGTTCTGTCTTCCATAAAGGCCCTTTCAGAAAAGAAGTGATTTGCACTGTAAGCTGCTCAGCGCTAAAAATAAACTACTTTGACCGCAGCATGTGCGCAAGCTTGCCGTGTGGTGCACGTTGTTCGATGCAGCAACAAACCAAGCCATTGAAAATAGTGACGGCAAGTTTGAGTCTTTTGACAGACTCGTTCATTCAAATCTTGTTCATTAAAATGAACTAATCTCTCGTCTAAGTCATTTCGTTCATTTCGTTCATTACGTTCATTTCGTTCATTTGAACTAGGCTGGTTATTGCGGCGCTGCAGCCCTCTAGTGGGCGATTAACACAGAAGGCTGCCTGGCTTGCTTTATTTGACAAAGTATAATGCACAAATTCACCTCTTGATTACTGTATATCATCATTATATAAACCCCCCTGGGCCTACAAGCAAATTCAAACCGTGTAAAAAACCATATTCAATGTGCAATCACCACTACTCCGGCTAAATCCTTCCATTGTCACAATCTTTCCTGAGTATACAACCAGACCAGCCATATAAAGGCTTGTGTATATAATTACTATCATTATCTCTAAAGTGCTCATTCATACAGCAGCCTAACGTCCCTGTCCATGAGTAAAATATTAATATTAATAAGCTTGATACACTATATGAATACACTCTTAGTATCCTCTGTCGCCTAGTGCTTGCTCTTGGTGGGAACTGTTGGGCTTCTGTAAATAGCATCATAGAGTATGATCTAGACCTGCTCTTTTATGAAAAGTGCTGTGAGATAACTGTTGTTGTGATTTGGCGCTATATAAATAAAATTGAATTGAATTTAATTATTAAAATTCAACCAATTTAACAATAATCGAGTAACAATAAGTTCTTAAAGAACTCCAGCACAGAGTAAGGAACAAAGAAATAAACACATATAAACGCGGCAGTTTGGCAGGTCTGGACGCAGAATGAGCCACATCAAATGCGGATTCTGCAGACAGAGAAACAAACATGAGCACATCGCTCTCAAACACGGCAGCTTGTTCACCAGTCAGGAGCTGTGAAACAACAGCATGGCTCTGTTGGTAAATAAAAAGGAAAAGTTACGTTGCGTTCTCTGGCGGACCGGATCAGCTGTTAGCTAATTACAGGGCTAACGCTAACTTTGCTACGTGGCTGTGTTTTAATGTTTTAATGTCCGGGTCCGTTTGTTTTGGAGAGGAGACGACCTCGGAGGTAATTTGGCTCCCGGTAGAACTGGGACCTGATGTGTCCCATTCTGCGTCCAGACCTGCCAAATTGCTACGTTTATATGTGTTTATTTCTTTGTTCCTCTCTATGTGCTGGAGTTCTTTAAGAACTTGGTGGCTTGATCCAAATTATTATTAAATTGGTTGAATTTTAATAAGAGTGTGTTTAGTGGGCCTGGGGGGGTTTATATAATGATGATATACAGTAATCAAGAGATGAATTTGTGCATTATACTTATAATAAAGCAAACCAGGCAGCCTTCTGTGTTTGAGAACGGCGCTGTTTTTTAATCGCCCACTAGAGGGCTGCAGCGCCGCAATAACCAGCCTAGTTCAACTGAATGAAATGACTCAAAAAATGATTAGTTCATTTTAATGAATGAGATTTGAATAAACGAGTCTGTCAAAAGACTCGAACTTGCCATCACTACAAAATGCTCCCACACTGCCGACTTCAGCCGTTTCTTTGGTGCAAATAAAGCTTCACAGTTTGGTCCCTCTGACAGAGTTTAGCCAGTGTACAGTAGCTTCTGATAAGCACGACACTTAAGCTGGTGCACCGCTCCTGTAACTTTGTTTTTGTTTTATGCAAGTTGCCACAGTTTTGTTCCGTGCAACAGAAACACTCGGTGTAGCGGAGCCTTTTCAATTAATTAACCGTAACGTTTTAAAGCGCGGTTAATAGTAAAATCTGGAAATTGCTGCATCCCTATCTGTGAGGCCATATTTCAAAGGTTCTTTTTTTTTAGGACCTCATAAAATGTTCTTACCTTATGGCTTCAGAGTCAATGTTCTGCAGCCATATATCGTACATTCAATGCCACTAAAAGTATGTATGTGCTATATATGTTGAATAAATGTTGTATGGAAAAACATTTTTGGTTTGAAATGACAAACGAAAAAAAGGTGGTTTTCTCGATTGTTCATTTTGTGGTTCAAACGAAAAAACAAACAATCAGAACATACACAGACCCAAGTGTCCCACCAGGGACACTAACACTGAACCACTGCTACACAACAAGGATGCCTATCACTCTATTCCCCGTGCAGCCTTGGGACTCTCTGATTACTGTCTGGTTCATCTTATCACAACATACAGGCAAAAACTGAAATCTGCTAAACCTGTTGTAAAGACTGTGAAAAGATGGACCAACGAGTCAAAGCTGGATTTACAGGCCTGCTTTGACTGCACTGACTGGAGTGTTTTTGAGGCTGCAGCCACTGACCTGGACGAACTAACCGACACTGTGACATCTTACATCAGTTTTTGTGAGGACGTGTGTGCCAAATAAAACCTTCCACACATACAACAACCAAAAACCCTGGTTCACAGCGAAAAGGAGGAGGCCTTCAGAAGTGGGGACAGGAGATCCATCTGTCAAATTTCTGAAGTTTGCTGACAACACAACGGTCATCTACCTCATCCGGGATGGTGATAAGTCGGCCTACAGACGGGAGGTTGATCAGCTGGCTCTCTGGTGCGGTCACAACAACCTGGAGCTTAACATGCTCAAAACTGTGGAGATGATCGTGGACTTCAGGAGGAGCCCCCCCACTCTTCCCCCCATCACCATACTCAACGGCCCTGTGTCTGCTGTGGAATCCTTCAGGTTTCTGGGATCCACTATTTCCCAGGACCTGAAGTGGTGTACACCATCATCAAGAAGGCCCAGCAGAGGATGTACTTCCTGCGTCAGCTCAGGAATCTCAACCTGCCCAGGGACCTGCTGATCCAGTTCTACACAGCCATCATCCAGTCTGTCCTCTGCACCTCCATCACTGTCTGGTTTGGATCGGCCACCAAAAAGGACAGGAGCAGACTACAACGGACAGTCAGGACTCACATCATCACATCAACATCATCGTGCCAACCTGCCCTCCATTCAGGACTTATACATTTCCAGAGTCAGGAAACAGACAGGAAACATCACTGCAGATCCATCTCACCCCGGACACAACCTGTTCCAGCTTCTCACCTCTGGTAGGTGCTACAGAGCACTGTACGCCAAAACCAACAGACTTATGAACAGTTTCTTCCCACAAGCCATCACTCTGATGAACAGCTGATTTCTGACTCACAGTGTCAGGAACAAGTCTTGTGCACTAACCCAGTAACTCTGTCTCTAATCAGCCACCTGTTTACTGGTTTACACTTATTTTTTATTCACCATTCAGTGCTGTTCATACTGTTATATTGTCATACTGTAGATACTGTATACCAAATCCACCTACTTCAAATCATAACTCCTGCACAAACTACTTATACCTATTTATTATTATTATTTTATTATTATTTTTCCAGCATCCTTTGCACTATGCTTCATTGCACTGTGTACATGTATGCATGTATATGTACCTGTATATCACATTCACCTCCGACATGTATATGGTATGTATATGTACATACTCCTGCATCCTTTGCACTCTGCTCACTGCACTATTTGTCTATATGTCTATATTGTTTTTATTCACAGTGTGTATATTAGTGTTGTCTACACTGAAGTCTGTGTCTGATTTTATTTTATTTTTATTATTGTGATTTTGTATTTTTGTACGAGTAAGCACATTGTGAGCAACGTACAATCCTGCGTCAAATTCCTCGTATGTGTACACATACCTGGCAATAAAGCTGATTCTGATATTGTTCACAAATCTCTCCAAATCTGTGTTAGTGAGCACTTTTCCTTTGCTGAGATAATCCATCCACCTGTCCATGTAAAGTTAAAATAAAACAGAAAGTGTGTGATCTCAGTCACAAGGTTGGCACAGAGCAGGGCCCTGCAGGACACACAGCGGAGACAGCTCCTGGTAAGTGCTCTGCTTTCACTTCTTTCTGACAATTCTACACAGCTTTTTAGTCTCCTGCTATTACTACTTTATTGTTATTATTATCTCTACTTCTGATTCTGCTATTACTACTACTATTGTTATTATTATCACTGCTTCTGATGCTGCTATTAGTATTACTTTTATTATTGTCACTGTTGCTGTTGCTTTCACTTCTGATGCTGCTATTATTAAGTATAGTATTCATAGATGGGTCATTCTACGCACTTTATTATGCTTAAGCCACACCATGTTCACTCACATACATTTATAGATCTCTCTTGTGTCTCATCTAGTGTTAGTTACTGTGTTGTGTTGTATGGTGTCTTGTCTTGTTAGTTGTTTAAGTGATCTTGTTTTTGGCACTGTGGACCGTGTGAAACTGCATTACATTTATTTGTATACTCGGTATGTGGATGAATGACAATATACAAACTGCACACAGTGCCTCTGGGTGGATACTGTCCGGATGGGCTCTTGACCTACAGGCCCACAGCTGCCTACCTGTTACACACGTAACATGCTGCAATTTCATTTTTCATGTGATAGAACATAGAAAGGCTCATTTTACATGAACATTGTAAAATGGTCCAGAGGGAACGTGCTAATATTCTAACTCTCATAATTCTAAAACAATGATACTTTTTCCACATTTTGTAACATATATCTAAGAGACAAATGCCAATTTATAAAAATATCATTAGTTCTCATGTAAAGCTTCTTTGATGGTTTTATAAGTCAATTATCAAAAAGTGGCTTATTTTAGCTGACTCCACCCTATGTATATAAATATACTGCCACTTTATTAGGTACACCTGTTCAATTGCTGGTTACACAAATAGTTAATCAGCCAATCACATGTAGACGTGGTCAAGACAACTTGCGGAAGTTCAAAGCGAGCATCATAATGGGGAACAAAGTGGATTTACAGTAAGTGACTTTGAACGTGGCATGGTTGTTGGTGTCAGACGGGCTTGTCTGAGTATTTCAGAAGCTGATCTACTGGGATTTTCACGCACAACCATATCTAGGGTTTACAGAGAATGGTCAGAAGAAGAGGAAATATCCAGTGAGTTGCAGTTGTGTGGAGGAAAATGCCTTGTTGATGTCAGAGGTCAGAGGAGAATTGGCAGACGGGTTCCAGATGATAGGAAGGCAACAGTAACTCAAATAACCACTCGTTACAACCAAGTTATGCAGAACACCATCTCTGAACGTACAACACGTCCAACCTTGAAGCAGATGGGCTACAGCAGCAGAAGACCACGCCGGGGGCCACTCCTGTCAGCTAAGAACAGGAAACTGAGGCTACAGTTCACACAGGCTCACCAACACTGGACAATAGAAGATTGGAAAAACGTTGGCTGGTCTGATGAGTCTCAATTTCAGCTGCTGCATTCAGATGGTAGGGTCAGAATTTGGTGTAAACATGAAAGCATGGATCCATCCTGTCTTAAAGCAACCGTTCAGGCTGGTGGTGTAATGGTGTGGGGGATATTTTCCTGGCACACAGTGGGCCCTTTAGTACCAACTGAGCATCATTTAAATGCAACAGCCTACCTGAGTATTGCTGCTGACCATGTCCATCCCTTTATGACCACAGTGTACCATCTTCTGATGGCTACTTCCAGCAGGATAACAAGTGTTAGTCTATGCTGCCTTTCCTTCATGAATGTGTGCATTTTCTGATAACTTTGAGCACAGCTTTGAGCGACCGTACCAGTGTTTTAGGATGTTTAGGATGTGCACACTCTACGTTACAAATTATGTGTGGTAATATAGTGCAGAGGCTACCTATGTCAAAGACGTTAAATCTACCTAATTATTTTCATAATGTAGTCCAATAAATGCAATTCAGTGACCCCCAGGAGGGTGGTCATCATAGTATACTGTATCATGTAGTCCTACAATACATTTCTTGTAAATAGGTAAAAACCTTTTATACAGTCTAGGGTAAAAACACTGGAGTATCTCTGTATTTCCTATGCCTATCTGTTTATCTCTTGGCAGGTTACTCAGAGAAGATGAACTGGGGCTTTTTGGAGAATGTCCTCAGTGGGGTGAACAAGTACTCCACTGTGGTTGGCCGCGTCTGGCTCTCTGTAGTCTTCCTCTTCAGGATACTGGTGTATGTGGCGGCGGCTGAGCAGGTGTGGAAGGACGAGCAGAAGGATTTTGTGTGCAACACCCAGAAACCCGGCTGTGAGAACACCTGCTTCGACTACTTCTTCCCCATCTCACAGGTGCGCCTCTGGGCTCTGCAGCTCATCATGGTGTCCACCCCGTCCCTTCTGGTGATCCTACCTGTGGCCTACAGGGAGCACCGGGAGGCCAAACTCAAGCGAAAACTGTACGCCGACAAAGGGAGCATTGATGGAGGTCTGTTCTGCACCTACATCATCAGCCTGGTCTTCAAGACAGCTTTTGAGGTGGGCTCCCTGCTTGCGTTCTACTTCCTGTACAATGGCTTTGGGGTGCCCATCTTGCTCCGCTGCAGCCAGAGTCCCTGTCCCAACACGGTGGACTGTTACATTGCCAGAGCCACAGAGAAGAAGATCTTTCTCTACATCATGGGCTGCACCTCCATTCTGTGTATTGCTCTCAATTTTGTGGAGCTCGTGTACATTGTATGGAAGCAGCTGTTGAAATATTTCACCAAGCGGTACATCCCGGTGGAAAAGAAGGCTTACAGCCGCTGCCAGTCCCCTGTTTCTAATGTCAACAAGCTTGTCTGCACTGAGCACACAGTAAACACAGAGGACAGCAGCACATAGCCACCATTCCATGCTGAAACCTGCCAGTCCAGTCCCACAGGGCTGGATGGAGCACATTCTCCACCTCAAAGTGAAACAAAAAGCTAACACAGTTGAATGGTACAGATGGCATACATTGAGAAAGGCTGAGCTGTCATTTCATTTATCAGTGTGAACTGATATTAAACCAGTCCAAACACTAATGAAAGACGGGCCATTACACTTTGACTTGTCTGGATGAAACCTCCAGTTTAGGAGCAACCTTTCTATCTAAAGAGCCACTTTCGGCCAGAAAGAAAAAAATAAACTTGTTTGGAGCCGTAAAAATTTTTTTAGCCCTTTAAATGCACAGGACTCTGCTACTGAGTTTAGCAGCAGGATGTGGCATGATGACAAAGTGTTTTACATTTTTTATCCGATGTATATGCTACATGTTTTTACAGTTGAATACTTCTAGGATTACTTTAGGCTTACAATAGTGATAGAAAAATGTTATTTATTAAAATGTTTTGACAAAGTAGGTGAGCCACTAGAGAGGGGCAAAGGAGCCGCAGCCTGCAGACCCCTGACTTAGACTTTTAATCATGTTGAGGTTTGGACTCTTGGCTGGATACAACAGGCATGGGGAAGCTTTTCACTATTATCAGATTCTTTACAAACTAAACAAACAATGGATTAGTGGAGAAAATAATCAGCAAATTGATCCAGATGAAAATAATCATTAGCTGCAGTCTGATACTAAAGAGTTCAAACTCTGCTACAGCTCAACAACTACAGCAGCAACATCCTGCTTTACATATATAATAGTACACATAGTATATAGTATATACCAGTCACGGGGACATTTTACTGCTTCAATACTTTAAGGACATTTTCCTGATAATACTCACTTAATCTTACTTTCTTTTTACATGAGAAAGAGTAACAGAGTGTGATATTGCTACTTTTAACAGGTTATCACTTGACAAAAGTCCTTGTGAGATACTGTAGTTTGTTCTAGATATCTTGAGAACACTTTTGACCAGACATCTCTCTCCAGTTATTTTGTGACTATGGGGGCCCAAAATGTTCAATATAAAACAAATAAAAATGTTATTCCATACTATTGTTTTCACAAGATAGGATTTTTATTATACCATTTTCACCAATCTGATTTCATAATTGAACGACTGACTAGCTCTGTGCTGTTTTGTCTTGACAAAGCACAAAAAACACACTTTGAAAGAAAATCTTCTGGAATATTTGAAATGATCATAATGCTCTGTGGTATTCCTGCTTGTCTTTTAATATAGAACACTACTATCACAATGTTGTTAGAGATATCCAGATCAGATGTAATCCTGACCTGATGCTGGACATCAGTGCTTTGTATTTAGACTGCTGTTTAGTTCTTAAGATGAATCACAAGAGAAATGTGCGATTACCAGCAGATATCTGTTACTCACCACAGAAAACTCTTTCCAGTTAACCTCATTTTGCTAATAATATTTTAATTCATAAATACATTTGTTGACTCAATGCCTCAAAAATGTATCAAGTTATCTCTGATGTAGTTTTAGAAAGTCAAATTAAACTATTTTGTGCCACAGAAGTAAAACAAGACTAAAACTAAAAAAGTTCTAAAATGACAGCGTCACTCTCCACCTAACTCATCAATGTGCTGATCAAAGATTGGCTAACAATCTTTGATCAGTCACACGTGTGTATTCTGAAAGTCAGTCATCACAGTGTGAACGTGTTCTTGTTCTTTTATGGTTCTTGACAATCTGTTCTGTTGTTTAGCAACACTACACTTTTTTAAAGTTAAATAAGAATTAAAGTTAAGATAAGTTAGCTGTTAGTTAATCAGTCTTTCCCAACTTTGTATAGGTGCTGTTTCTGTTAACCTGGTGGATTTTCATTCCTGCTATTCACATGCTACAACTGAACATGTTAAGTGCAATAATAAAGTCTTAATGTATACACCTTGAAATAAATCTGCTCTTCTTTCTCAAAGATGTACTGAACACACTATTTAACAGCTTCTCCGCTGTGAGCTGCTGCTTTGATTGACAGTTCATCCACAATTGAGATCTGACCAGCACTGCTAAAGGACCCCTTTAAAACCAGTACAGCTTTTACGTTTTGTGTCTGAATTAACCAAAGAGACAGTGTGTTGATTAGTGGGCTTTAAAGGTGTTGCTAGGTGTACGGCGTGTTTTGAAGTAAGCACTACAAATGCACAAAATGACAAGAGTGGAAAACTTCCATAACACCTAAAATTAGTTCAGAAATCATGACTACAGCATAGAGCTCATTTGTTTTTAATCATCAAAAACTTGAACCACAAAATCATTTTCCATTCAGTGTGCATGCAGCAGCTCCAATCGTTACACGATTAAAGGAATTCCTAATCTGCAGTGTAATCTAACTAAATGATGAAAAAAAGTCAAACTGGTTGTAAAAAAGCTCTTCATTTAATAGTAAGACTGCTGGTGGCAGTGGGTGATTTCAAACTATATACACAACGCACAATAATCAACATCTTTAAATCACAACTACACATAACATTATAGTCCATGTCAAAGTCCATCTGTCTGGAAGTCCCACAGGGATAATTAAGACGCCAAACGCTGATGACATGTTTCAACTTTCTGCCAAATGGTCAGATAACTTTTTGACTTAATAGCCCATAAATAAAAACATGCTATACACTTCTATAAAAGAGACAAAAATTGTACAGATAATATTACAGTATAATTCAAAACAACATTTTTTTTTAATAACTGGACGTGTAAAAACCTTTCATATGCAGGGCACCAGTCTGCAGCAGATTTGACTCAGCCTGAGATTCTGCTTCTCAAAAACAGACAGGTTGGTCATTTTTTTCCAATACCACTGTGGGCCGCATGTCCTGCAGCTGTTTCAACATGAGGTCTGTGACACCTGAAAAGGCCCTGTCTAGGATTATTTTAACCTTACTGAGGGACTTCAAATTCTGACGGTTGCTGAACCTGACGCAGGTGTCTTTGCTATTCAGACTGTTCGTTTTTCTCCGTACTTCTGGTACATCAACATTTCTCGTCAAGGAGTGTTCACATTTATTTGACTGTTCCAGGAATTTTAAGAAAGACATTTCAAATCCCATTGGTTTGAAAGAGGCCAGTGTGGCACTCTGCTCAGTCATCTCCTCCTGGGTTACAGCGGGGCAAGAGGAGTCGGATTCATCGTCCCTGCTGTAAACGACATCAATCTTGGTCGTACGCGGAATTTTCTTGCGTTTCACAATGTTTTCGATCAGCTTTCTTGGACGTCCTCGTTTGCGTTTTAGCACGACAGAGCCATCGGAACTTTCATCATTTGACAATTTGCTGTCGAACAATGCAGCGGGGATTCCTGCGGTGGTCCTTTTGCGTAGGACAGGCTTTGAATATCCATATTCCCCTCCTTCCAGGCCGGTGTCGGCTGTCACCTCACTGTCTGACAGGTCAGACGTGTTGTCTGATTTGGAGTCATCACTCCTGATGGGTCGGCACTTCTGCCTGGGGAACTTTTTGCAGAATATGAAGTGACTCCTTTGCTGTTCCAGGTACTTTTCTGACAGTCCGTGTCCCACGTAATGTTTCAATATGCTCCTCTCTGACTTCATGACTGACTCACAACCTTTAATCATACAGGGGTATTGTAGAGGAATTTTTTTAGTGCACATTGCAGATGCCTCCACTTTAGATTTTAAGGAGGGTTTTCCATATTTAGTCCAGTGATTTTTTTTCACCTTGCTAACTCTCTTTGTGTCACCTCCCCGCTGTAGGATCTTTTTATTGCTCTCAATGTTTTCCTTCCCATTACTCGTCTTGGTAATTTGGTAATGCAAAGTTTTAGAGTTCTGTTTCATCCCATCTTCTTTTATCTGTTGATTCTTTAGTTTAGGCTGGTAGAGGTCCTGATGCTTTTTCATGACATGTCTGAGCAGGTTTGACTTTGTGGCATACGAACGGTCACAGCCTTCAATTTCACACTTGAACGAGCCATTTAATTGTTCAGGTTTGGCCAACTTCATATCTTTATGCTGTTCTTTGACATGCCCTATATACTTCCAGAAAGCAGTGAAGGATGCTGTGCATCCTTGGTGGCCACAAGCAAACCTGCCCAGTTTAATGATGGACAAGATATTACCAACCTTATCAAGGCTGAATTCATGCAGCTGAAGATAATGCTGCAAAAGGTTGGGGACTTCTTGGAAAACTCGGGAGCAGTCTTTGACCTGGCATCTGAATTCAGAAATTTGGGGGATCTCTGCCTCTGGCTCCTCATCATTGTGGTCCATTATTTCATCCAGTCCCTCACTCTGGTCCTGCTCTTTGTTCACCTCCAATGCTGACAAAGCAGACTGGTGAACAGCCCTGTAGTGGAGGATCAGATTGTGCTGGATGGTGAAGGCAGCCACGCAGCCTTGATGAACGCAGCGATATGGTCTGTATGGACTCGTGGCATCACCTGAGCTTGGCTTCTTCTCTTTTGTCTTCTTGGTAATGTCTATGCTTGGCTTGGCAGACTGTTTGTCGAGAGGTGGAGGGCCATTAGCCTGACGCGTGGCAGACAGAGCCTGCGTGAGAGGAGCCGACCCTTTGAGCAACGGGGGTCCCACGTGTCCACTTGCGTGTTGAGCGGGTACCTTGGGAAAGTTTCTTTGCCGTCTGTGTGTCCACTGTTCTGCTGCCATCCCTGCTTGTGCTGAAACAAAGGCTGATGCAGAGATCTGGCCCTTTACTGGCGGGGTCATTGCTTGTTTGTGCACGGGAGCTGTCTGCAAGGGATGAATGACTGTTGAGCGACTGTCATCTTGGAATTTCCGATTAGTTATGTCCACATTAGTACATGGTACAAATGTTTGTGATGGGCAATCAGGTGCATCCTGGAGTGAATATAGATGAGTTCTGTTCTGCACTGACGAAGGAGTAGCCGGTGTGGTTTGAGTTGATGGATCCTGGTTTGTTCCAACAGGCCAGTTCTGCATAGCTGCAGCTTTGGCCAGTTTGCGCTTGGAATCTAGATCTGCTATTTCCTTAGCAGATAATTTATGAGCTGACTGGTAGTGAGTACGAAGGTTTGAATTACGAGTGAATCTTTTACTACATTTTTGACACTTGAAAGGAGCATATTGGCCATACCTTTTCTTAACCTCATTCACCATATCAAGTGTGTAGTTGTGAGTTTTGGAGAGGTGTTTCCAAAGCGCTTCACTTGACACTGAACTAAATGTGCAGTTCTCATTCTCACAAGCAAATGGCTTAACAACCAGTGACGATATTGATCTACGCAAAACGGCCTTTGCAGATCCTGCCTGGCTGTTTGTGGGATTGCTATTCTGCTCCGTGTTAGCCAACATCTGATCAGACATTTCTCTGACCAAGTTAAGCCTTTCAAATGCACTTTGAATTTCTGTCATCCACTGTTGCTGGCTGGCAGATAACTGAGTGGGCTCAAGATCTGCATCATTTGCTGCGATGCCTGTGGGGCTCAGTATCTCCTGCTGCGGGGTGGAGGTCTCTCTGAAGCAAGTAAAGCTCTGTGTGTTCAGTAATTGTTTAATTTCGCCAGAGGTTCCTGGGATGATTGCAGAGTTTTCTTGAATAACTTGTCCTTCACTTGCTGAGTCACTTATTGCGTTACCAGACATTTGATGAAGTCCAGAATTATTGGAAGGACTGCACACTGGACCAAAAGACTTGGGAGTCTTTGAATTGGCATTAGGGTCAGTCTTGCTTGAATGACATAAGCTGTTTCTACGTTGAAAGTCGACGGACAATATCTGCTCTCGCAGTCTCTTCTTAATATCTTGTTCAGCGGTCTTCCTTTGCATCTCAGAATGCTTGCCACTTCTTGTTGCTGGACTAAGCTTACTATCAGGTAACAGTCTTTGCCTCACTGGGTTCTGATCTGTATCTTGTGTCTGAATGGTTGTCTCAGAGTGATACCCTTCACTGTGATTCGTGGGAACAATTCCAGGAAGCGCAGTGGAAGAGTTTTCTGTAAGAATTTGTGTAAGAAGTGGGTCAGGGAACTCACTTCCAGCAAACGTATTAACGCTTGTCTGAGGATAATGGGCGGTGCTGTACGAAGTGTCCTCTTGTTTCAGCTGGACATTTTCTGTATGCTGTATGACTGAGCTCCCGGGCAAACGTTCACCAGCTCCATAGGGAACACAAGGGTTTTGGAACAATGGCTGGGGAGCAGGTGTGTGTACAAAGAGATCAGACATGTTGGATTCAGCCATGATTTGTTTAAGTATGTCATCATTTGACTCACCATTGCCATACACTGGCAAATTATCTTGTGGATAATTAGGAGTGGGGTAATCTTTTGTGGTTGTTGAACCATGTATTACTGACTGATGGGGCTTCTCCTGATAAACAGCAGCAGGATTATAAGACAACTGTGGTGGTGCAGTGCTAACTGTTTGCTCTGAATTGAGAAGGTCAAGAAATGATGCTGGCAGGTCTGTGTTCAGTTCCGACTCTTCATATGGTTTGCAGATTGTACGCTTGGACAAATGGCCTCCCAGGGATTTAGGGCTATTAAATTGCCTAAATCACCTGCAACAAACAAATTTGCCATCCCTAAGAATAGCTGGCCATTTGGTCCTTCTGTTTTTTCTGGTTCTCGTTTGATTTTCAGGACTGTTTTCAGAGCCAACTGAGCCATTTGGAGATTGGTTGTTACGGTTTTTTGGGCTTGCACTGTCTGGTGAGGGAAAACTGGACTGCACATGATTTTGCATTGATATAGGTTTTTCTGGTGCCCTGGAATCGGAGACTAAGTTGCTTTGCATCGGTGATATATAGGGTGGAAGGTGGTCAGCTGCTTGTTTTGACACTTCCTTGGCACGGTCCATGTAGGAGGTCAAAACTGACTGGGACCCATTTTTCAGAAGTGGTGACGGCAAAGACTGTGCTGGTCTGTTCATTGTTGATCCCATTATAGAGCAAGATG